TGGACGACTTGTACATTATTTTTAGCCGTCCGTTCATGTCGAACACATAGCCCAACTACCACCTTGAGGCATGGACAACACATTGCCCAGCCAACACCTAAAAGTATTGTCCGCTTTGGCCACATAGCCCAACTACCACCTTGAGGGATGGACAACACGTTGCTCAACCAACACCTAGAAGTATTGTCCGCTTTGGCCTAAGCATGATAGCTGGCAAGCCGTACGGATTTATTCCTTTGATTTTCCAAGGACGCCTCCACAATGGAAGTGTCCAATGCTATCTTATAAGTCTATTCTAAATATTATCTACAATCGATGTGGGATGGAAACACATATTTGAAACAAGATAAGAGAATATTATCTGCAATCGCGATATGGGATGGCAACCCATATATTTGAAACAAATGATATAATAACAAATATATAGCTTGGACATGAACATTGAATACATCATATTAATATTTTTCAAAACTGGTGTCGTTCAATGGTCAATTTTATTGAATTATTTTAGAAAATTTGAAGTTATTCTCAAATTTTCAAAACTTTAATTTATATTTCTTTATTTATCTTGATGAAACTTTGTCCCACGTAAAAAAAGAAAGGATAAAAATAATGTATTAATAAATGAAGTTTTCAAAGGAATTTTTAAATCAAAGAGGCTTGATGATTTAAACCAAAAAAGCATTTTGACAGTGGAGGTATTGCTGATGAAGAGTGATAAAAAAAATTTATTAAAAAATCTACGTCAATAAATTTTTATTTTAACTTCACAAACGGTTGATATATATATATTAAATATACTTAAACAATTTGATAGGTATAGACTGTTAGTTTTTACTTTTTATACATCTGCACGGATTTATTCCTTTGGTTTCCCAAGGACGCCTCCACAATGGAAGTGTCCAATGCTATCTTATAAGTCTATTCTAAATATTATATACAATCGATGTGGGATGGCAACACATATTTGAAACAAGATAATTGAGAATATTATCCGCAATCGATGTGGGATGGCAACCCATATATTTGAAACAAATGATATAATAACAAATATATAGCTTGGACATGAACTTTGAATACATCATATTAATATTTTTCCAAACTGCTGTCGTTCAATGGTCAATTTTATTGAATTATTTTAGAAAATTTGAAGTTGTTTTCAAATTTTCAAAAATTTAATTTATATTTCTTTATTTATCTTGATGAAACTTTGTCCCACGTAAAAAAGAAAGGATAAAAATAATGTATTAATAAATGAAGTTTTCAAAGTAATTTTTAAATCAAAGAGGCTTGATGATTTAAACCAAAAAAGCATTTCGACGGTGGAGGTATTGCTAATCAAGAGTGATAAAAAAAATTTATTAAAAAATCTACATCAATAAATTTTTATTTTAACTTCACAAAATGTAGTGACTATATATTTTTTTAATAAACTTAAATAATTTGATAGGTATAGACTATTAGTTTTTAAAATTTTAATATATTAATATAATCTTTGAAATCAGATAGAAATCTCGACATAATCGATCAAAATTCTAATATTTAGAGCTTGTTTGGCATGAGAGTTTTTGATGAAAATAGTCAAAATGTCAAAACATCCAATCGCATCACTTTCTTTACTTTTTACACATATTTTCCTAAAACATAAAAAAATCAATTAAAATATTCAATTCTCAAATAACCCCTAATGTCTTTTTTCACCTCTCGATTTGTTTATATTAATCGTAACTAATAGATTAAAATTTTACAATACATATGGCACGTTTGTTTGTTTGGTGAGTGCTACATATGAACTTAATATTCATTTCATCAACTTTTTTCTATTATAATTTGAACTCACAAAATGATTACAGAGGTGTGAACCAAAATGATAAGCAAATAAGTCTCAAAAATTAAGGCTCCGTTTGGAAAGCCTCTCAAAATATGGTTTCACCCATTGATTTGAGTATGTTGTTTGTTTGGAGCTTTCAAATCATAATTCTATACCCATTTCTTAAAACTCAATTTAAAACATAATTATTACTTTTCAAAACTCATAACCAAACACATAATTCAAAACTCTTTTCAAAACTCAATTCAAATTAATATTTTAATTTTGTTAAATATTTTAAATATTTAAATATTTTAAAAATATTTTAATTTTGTTAAGATTTTAAATATTTTAATATTTAAATTTGTTATGCTTTTTTTAATTTTTTTAAATATTTTAATTTCAAAATATTACGATTCTAATTTTTAAAATTTTAAAATATTTTATAAAAATAAATTCAAACTCTATTTTATAAAAATATTTTTAAATATTTTAATTTCAAAATATTACGATTTTAATTTTTTAAATTTTAAAATATTTTATAAAAATAAATTCAAACTCTATTTTATAAAAATATTTTTAAATATTTTAATTTCAAAATATTACGATTTTAATTTTTTAAATTTTAAAATTTAAATTTTTTGAATATTTATTTTAATTTTTTACTTATTAAATTTTTTAGATTATTTAAATTATTTAAATATTTATGATTTAAATTTTTTGAATATTTATTTTGAAAAAAAGTTATTTCCTTTGTAGTATTTTTAATTAAAAAATTGATTAATGTTATTTTCTGTTAATAATAATTTTTTTTAATTGAATTTTAAAAAGAGTTTGGTTATTAGTGTTGATCAGAATTTTCAATAGTGTGAAAGTAGTATGTTTTGTTATGAGTTATAATAATTTGAATTAAGTTATGAAAACTCTTTCCAAAACTCATAACCAAACAAATTTTCGTACTTCACATGTCAAATCAAACTTTCAAAACTCAATTCCACACTCAATTCAACACTCTATTTAAAAACCATAACCAAATAAATTTTTTACACCCAAATCATAATTCTACAACTCACAAACTCAAAATACAACTCATACTTTCAAATCATATTTACAAAACTCTACCAAACGCAACCTTAGTAGCCTAAAACATGATCTAATGCTGACTAAAACAATTATTAGTCGCCTATTGTGGCATATTTAGCGACTAATTTTTTTTAGTCACCAATAATTAAGATACAGTTACTAAAAAAATTAGCAGCTAAAAACCATATTCAACGGCAACTAATATAACTTTTAGTCGCCTATTCTAAAACTTTTGGCGACTAAAAAACGCTTAGCCACTAAAAGTGTAAATTGTTGTAGTGGTGGCTTGTTTACATGTAAGATTATTGGATAGAACCAAAAGGCTTACAAATGGGTATGCATGGTTCCGTTTGATCATGAGGCGATAAAAAAAAGAACTCAGTCATTCATATTTCAAAAATAACACGCAATTAAAAAGAGAAGTGCAAACAAAAAAGCAAGTCTCAAATAAATATTCATTAAACTATAAACTAATCTTAGGGGTAATTTCGAAGGCAGCATGGATTATGAACATTAATATGATAAGTAAGCAAGGAAGCTATGCATCGTACAAAAATTTGAAACGAAATTTCAAACTGAGTTTTAGATATGTACCTAAATCATCAGCACAGCATCAAGTATCTGTATCGGCATCTCAATAAGATAAGATTGACAAGACTCTGCAAAAGCCTTCAAGTGTCCTTTGCCATCACTAAAATCGCAAGCAAAGCTCAACAAGCCGAAATTTGAAACAATGCAGTAGCGTCAAATCCCGACCACTGCACTCGAAGCAAATCCAACAGAACTCGTCGCCAGAAAGATGAAGCAACACAGGGTTGTCAGAAGAATTTTCCATTCCCAGGCCTTTTATATACCCTGAACAATGCCATTTGGTAAAACAATCATAAGCACGAAGCTTGGAGTCCTCAAACCATAACAAATTAGAGCCTACAAACAAAGTTTGCACACGGAATGGACCTTGATCTCTCTCATAATCCCGTAGTTTCCAACAATCGGTCACCACATTATGTAGGCTTCTGTTTTGTGGTGTTGAAGGAATCATACTCTTTTCTTTCTTTTTATTTTCTTTTCATGTCTTCTTCTTTTTAAGTTAGGAATTTATGTCCCTCTCGTGCAGCCAACTCTTAGCTTCAACTGATCTGATCAAAGTGTCTAGCTTACTTGAAGTTGAATTTGTATTAACAGTTTGTGTTAATTGGGGCTAACAGTAGATGCACAAATTTGTGTACACAAAGTATTGTGATTTGCAGTGCGACTGTTTTTATGTTTACTATAGTTCAGTGAGAGCATGATACATGATAATGTGTGCCCTTGTTATATTGAGTAATAGGGTACCAGGCGCCCGGCAAATTTACAGTTCGCTGAGAAATTGGACGTGAAAATGAGGGAGTGAATTTCAGAGTACAAGTTGTTTGTTGCAGCCCAGACCTGGATTTTGGAAGAGGTAATAATCAAGGGCCAACAAAGGGGATCGACCCGTGATCTGAACAGGATAGAATATTTTATGTGGCACATGATAATAAAATTAACTTTACATTTAAAATATATAATTTGAGATTTATTACACTTCCAATATTATTTATGCACCTTTCAATACTTGATATATGAAATTAACGTGAGCATTTTTCAAAGAAAAAATATTGCTTTATTCATGGATGCAATTGATACAAAATTTAAATTGTGGAACAAAATGAAATTATTTGTTTAGTTGTGTTTATACCTGGAGTCCATCCCTCGAACAGAGCGGAGGCGATATAGCATTATAGGCAATAATAGTGGAACTGATGCAGAAGAAGAGAATATTTTTCAAAATTGCCCACGTTGTCATCTGTCTCCGTCTTTTTTCCAATAACCAAAATATCAATTTTTATAAAAAACAAATTTATGCTAAAAAAAATTGTAAAACCGGCCTTAAAATAAATAGAGCCAGTGTAGGCTAATCCTAGCCGGTTAAGTTATTTTCTAAGCTGCCAAACAGAGCGCAGTTAACCATAGGCATCAGCTATGACCTGAACCTATAAGGCCTGTTTGGCAATATGGTTGGGACTATATTAGCTCTACTAAAAGACAATAAATTAAAAAAATTAAAAAAATAAAATAACACGTGTAAATTATAATCATTTCACTTTTTCTCTCACAAAATTATAAAAAAATCAAAAACCAAAAAGTCAAGTTAAAACAGTTCTTGCCAAAAGAAGGCAAAGAATTAGGTCCTCAAGCTATGAATCCCGTATCCCCAAAATATAGTACCCTGTCAAATGCATGAATGGATGCTCCGAATCCATGGGGGCACAAATGAAAACAGCAGGCAATTCATGCACATTAGAGGACCAGCCCTCATCATGAATACAATGTCACAAACATCCAGCAGCTTCATTAACCATGTAGACATGTAAAGAATCGGTATTGCCACATCAGGGTCATGAAAAAACTTTTACACGCTGCAATAGCCACAGCAATATCAATTTGGGCTCATTGATCTTGAGACACCAGCATTTTTGTTCAGAGCTCACCGACGCTTGTACAAACAAGGCTTCAACTCAGGCCATTCAATTTCCCTCTTGGAATTTTGCTTCTCCTGTAGAACAAAGAATGAAGTTATTTTAACGGGCACTGTTCTTGAACAGGTACTGTCAACAAAGCAAATGGGCATATATACTCTTGCAAGAAAAATGGGATAAAGCTACTGACCTTTTTCTTGAAGTATAATAATATAAACATTTTGTTGGAAAAATCCTGCGCATAATGCTTATAAATTAGAGAGGATAATGGGAAAATTAGATTGTTATGAACAACGAGAGAACAAGAATAAACCTTTGATACAGAAGCAAAACCCAGCTCACAGATGGCTTTTGAGAACTTATCTGGATCTGCTCCTCCAGTATTTGGATCAAACCTGCTCTTTACTTCTGCTATCAAGAGCCAGCCACTGTGAAGAGCCATTACCTCTCAAATTATGAAATAGAAAAAGAAAAGAAATCGAAAAGCTTTAAAAAAAATATCACATGCATACGATGGCTTAACAACTCTGTGTGCTTCTTGAAGGTAACTTGAGAAATTAGTGCCCATCAGTGAAAGGCAAAAGACGGCAACATCTATAGATGAAGAGTCAAGGGGTGTCTGCAGTTCCAAGCACAATCATTTAAAGTCAAAAGAAGGCATCTTACAAGTAGCATTAACCAAAAAAAGATCAGTAACCATAAAGTTGTTAATAAGATCCAATCTATATGAACCACCAAGACATTGGGAGGTTATAACAAGAACAACATAGCATGCATCAGAAAACCAAAAGGTACATTGAGAAATAAGAACATAAGCAACATTTTGAATGACAAGGCCATTTGCATGGTTCAACAATTGAAATATTGAGTTTATGCTAATACTATATGGCCATGTATGTTTGGGTGGACATGAGCTTGGGATTGAACTAATAGTCCAATAAAATTATTAATCCGATATTTGGTTAAACAATTAAAGTACGGACTAATTATTTTAAACTTGACTATTAGTTAAGATAGGATACATAATCCAACGGATTCGTAGTCCTAGGACTATTAGTCATGGGAATGCTAATCCAATCCGCCCAAACAAACATGGCCTATAGTTATAATAGACAAAATTGCCAATTAAAGGGTATTTTTTTTATAAGTAATTAAAGGGCACTTTCAAAAACGAAAACTTGAAAAGTTAGTACATGATGTAAAGAGGATAGATCTTTATATTATGAGTTAATATGTCCTGGTCCTGTTTTCTCTTGCTGAATTATTTATTTACTTACATCTTGGAATCATATACAATTTCAATTCTCTTTATAGCTTTGGATATAGACACAGAGAACAAATAAGAAGGTTAATCTACTCTCTTTTTTTAACCTTTTTCCCTTTTCATCAACACTTGATTTCAGAGGTTACAATCCATAAACACAATAATGGCACAAGTGAGAGAAAAGCAAGCAGATCACAGCAAAGCTATAAAACCTTTAAAAGCATTATTAAGAAGCACATACATTTGACATATCACACGCAATTACTGATGGATCATTTGAGACAAGGTCAAAAGAGAAGACTTTATTCTTGACATTTCTTGCAAGGAGTGCATCCCCTGGAATATAATTGAACATAATGATTAATGACACTTAGATGTCCACGTAGAGTACAAACTAACAAGTCCTAATATTTGGAGGAATAAATTCAGATGGTTTCCATTGCAAATGTTGTAAGTTCTCACCACATCCAAAATCAGCAACAAGAAATGAAGGGTTGTGATCCTTTATCCATTTAATGATAACATTAACTGGTTGCTCGGGCCAATGTGACATTTGCTCTTGATATCCTGTATGATACTGGCCAGGTAAGTAAACATAAGTTACAATGCAAAGAGCATCAAAATATAGAATAAGTCAAGTATATTTGAATAAACAAAGTTGTATGAAGACCAAATAATTTTAAAGAAAAATATAAGACAATCTATATACAATGTCATATATATTCATAAAACGTGATAAGTTTGTTCTGACCTGCAAAAATTATCCTACACACTCGAATTGACTCAGATTTGATTTTTTTTTTTTTTTTAATGTTTCCGTAGGATTTCATTTGGATGTAATTATCTAAGATCTGACTTCAAACTTGAATCCTCATATGTTTTCTCTAAGTTTAACCTTGACAGATTGAAGTTTGCTCCAAATAAGACACAAAAACAAGAGAATTAAAGCAGCCACAGAAAATTACTAGTGTCAAATTGAATTCAACTACATCCATAACAAACATAAGCTCAAAATGTAATGTAATGTAATGTACTTACCACATTAAACAGCATGGGATCTTCTTTAAAATAGTTAAGGGCATCGTTTCCACTGTAGAAAAAGGAAAATAATTCAAAATCTAATTTGCAAACTCAATTTTGAGATAGAAATTATTATGTAAATATATAAATTCAAACAAACACAAAGCTTTTTCTCTTCAGTAGATACCAAAATCCATCAATTCGCCAATACATGTGAAAAAATAAAAATAAAATTAAACATTAGGTAGGTAAAAAGTAATCGTACGTGCAAGTGTAGAGCTTCTCGTTAATCATCCGAAAATGGCCTCCCGATAACCTCGCTCTCATCTGCATACATAAATATATACACACATACATACATACAATTCCCAAATCAATACCAACACATGAGTTGCTGTATACATATAGCGAGAGAGAGAGAAACACATATGTTCATATAGAGAGACCTTGTCAAGGAAAGAAGAGGACTTGGAAATTGTACGGCTAGGAGGAGAAGCAGAGTCTTCGTGTTCATCGATCTTTTGAGACACTTGATGAAGATGATCATTGTTGGGATTATCAGAAGATTTTTCAGGTCGTGGTTTGCGATGCCTTGGCCTTTTACGCTTTCGATTCGATCTTTTCTCTTCCTTCATCACTTCCAATAGCTTGCTTATTCGATTTCAGGGTTCAGCACAGGGCATTTTAAACCGACTCAATATGGGGCTAGGCCTCATACCCAGACCCGGACAAACCCCTCTTTACAATAGGTCCTAAACCACAAAATTTAAGGCCCACACTCATGGGCTATATGTCCATAGGCTTAAAAATAGATTGGTTTATGGGTTTGGGGCAAAGCCTAACTCATATGGGCTTAATTTGGGTTTTAATTGGATTTAAAAAATTATTTTCAAATGAATGATAAAATTTTTATACATTAAAAAGTAAATTCGTATACTTCTCCATGACTTTGTAATTAAATTTTGAAAAATTCTCTAGTCAGTAATTTCCCCGTTTTAATTTGGGGTTTTTTTTTTGTTTTTGTTTTTATTGAATTCAAAATAAATTAGAAAATAATAAATAATTTTGAAGTGCATTACAATAATTATAATTGAATATTGAATCATAAATATAAAAAAATTATTGAGAAGTAATTTATATAAAACTTATGATGCGTTAATCTGTGTCAAGCGTCTTGAATGCTACTCGCCTTATGTGGAAATTGCTGGTAATACACAACATATAACTAGCTTGATGAAAATAGTTGTTTTGTATATTAAATTACAAATTGAGAAGTTCAATTCCTAAATTAGTATTTCATGAAGTTTCTCGGAATTTGATTAATTTCTTTGTTTCTTTTTTCCCATACAAGATGAAAACTTACATTTACACAACAACCAACACAAGCTTATCTTACCTATTTTTTCCTTTCATGATACTATAATCACATTCATTTGATTATATATTAAATTGTGTGCATCATTAATCTCGTAAAAATATAATTGATAGTTTCATAATTGATGTTTTACTCAATTTTTTAATCTTATTATTTTACTAAAAATATATATAATATAAAAAAATAAAAAATAAAAAACAAGAGAGGAAAAAATAATAGTCTATTATTTAAGAATATGAGTTTATATGAATTTTATTTTATTTTTTTGAATAAATTTTATTTTATTTTTTTGAACTCGAGTTCAACTAGCTTTGACTCATTTAAATATTTGTAACCAATTGCGTTTGCAAAGTCACAGAGAGTAATCTTAATTTACAGTATGAACCACAATAATGTTGGGTCAGTGAGTTAATGAAAATTTGATTTTCTATTTGAACTCAAGTTCAATTAGCTTTATTCATTTAATTTTTTGTAACCAAATTACATTTGCAAAATCACACAAGAGGGAGTAAATATTGAATGTAACAGTGATTTTGACTCATTTAAATATTTGTAACCAATGCATTTGCAAAGTCACAGAGAGTAATCTTAATTTACTGTATGAACCACAATAATGTTGGGTCAGTGAGTTAATGAAAATTTGATTTTCTATTTGAACTCAAGTTCAATTAGCTTTATTCATTTAATTTTTTGTAACCAAATTACATTTGCAAAATCACACAAGAGGGAGTAAATATTGAATGTAACAGTGATAACATCATTTAATGAATAATTTTAATTTACAGTAGAAATCACAATAATGTTGAGTTAGTGGGAAACAAAACTTACCCATTTTCATTCATTTGTAACTTTTTATTGGGAGTTTACGCTCAATATTTTTTTTTTTCCACATGATGACAAATGTTTTTAATGATACATTAGAGATGAAGGGAGCGTGGACCAGTGTACCCACCTAGTGGTTAGCTAGTAAGGTTCTTTTCATGCAATAAATTTCCAAAGACAATCACTCCACAAACCTATCCTTTTAATTTCTCATAATTGAATTCTCTAACTCTTTTTGTTTATGTTTCAAATTAAATTATTTTACAATATGATTTACATTTTTAGTTTAATTTTATGGTAGAAAGTATATTTAAGACAGGAAAACCTTCACTAATTTCAGTGCGGCAAGCACACCTTTCTAAATTCTTATCTTGTTTCTGAAGATTTTCTTCATGCACTTCATAATAAATGTCCCATCCAAATGCATCACTTTTTTTTTTAACTCAACATTGATTAAATGGTATAAAACAAGAGCAATATGTGACCTTTTGTTTTTAACCAATCCCTACATCTACATCTACATCTACATCTTTAACATCTAAAAATTGCAAAATATATCACATCATATGATAAATATAAAAGGATAGAAAGAGAGAATCAACATTGCAAAAAAAAATTACTCATGTAGGAATAATCCAAAAACAGTCTTAATCTACTGAATCAAATGATCTTGATCGAAATTAAGGGTATTTTGTCTTCCTGTTTCAAAATACTCGTAACAGTCAATCCCACGTAAAAATCTCAAAGGATTGAAACTGAATTTGGACAAAAAAAACCCATAGCCTTAGTCAAGTTAATAGGTCAGCGTTACATCAAGGTAGGTGGGAGTTGAGAATTCCACATTTATGTGGACTGCAAAAGTAGATCAACTAAAACAATTTATACGGAAACAAACTCACTCACATGGACTCCAACAATACTGATGTACACCATTTAAGTTCCCCTATCTAATGCTCAAAACAAGGTAGGCTGAAGATAAAAAGGGCCATAGCATAGCCAGCCAAAACCACCATCCAAAATCTCTCATATCTCTCTCCTAAACTCTCATCGTCAAAGAATGGCAACCACCGTGGAGGATATCACTGCCAAGGCTAAGATGGTTTCCTTAGAGGCACTGACACCTAAAGAGGAGAAAGTGAATGGCCCTGAATCAAATAAGATTGCCGATGGTGAGATGGGGAAAGCTGATGAAGAGCCACAAATGGGCAAGAAAGATGACGTGCCGGTTGAGACTGAACCCAAGACCGGGGTCTCCTTTCCGATTAAGTTGGATGATGGGAAGCAGTTGAATGCGGTTGGGTTGAGGAAAAAAAGCGTGCTTGGCATCGGCATCAAAATCTATGGCTTCGGTATCATTCTGTCAAAATCTCAGTCTATTTACTCATATATACTTGATCTATGACTATAAAACCTCGCATATTTGGTGTCATACCCATGTAAAATCAGTAATGGATTTTATGTGCCTATGTGATAAACAGAGGTGGTTGAACACCTGCAAAGGTGATATAATTAACACAGCCGAACCCAAGAAGGTCTGACGTGTTCAAAACTACAAACTTAGCTAATACTAATAGGGTCACACAAAATAAAACCAAGAAAGATACTTGGAATTACATAACAAGAAATTGATCATCTACAAACAATTTGAACAATCAATTTAATGATGTAAAATCCAACAGTTTGGCCACTTGATCAAGATTCTAAGAGCTGATCTCAGAGAGGATAATGAATATCATTATCCAGCATAAATGCAAGGTTAATTACTTGTATTGTTTTCCAATTGCAGGAATATATGCAGATAATGAGACACTGAAAGATCTTCTGAGGACAAAAATTGGGAAAGCACCAACAAAACCTACCAAGGAAATGTACCAACTGGTAATTGACAGTGATGTAGGAATGCTGGTGCGATTGGTAATGGTGTTTTCCAACCTCACAATGAGCATGGTAAGAAAGAACTTTGATGAAGTTCTTGGAGCATCTATCAAAAAGCTCACTGGTGGAAAGAATGACGAGCTCACAAAGAAGTAAGTTTGTCCTTTCAAATCACCATGACTGCATATTTATATTTAGCCACTAGTTGAATTTTCCCTTAGAGCTCGTCTCTCCTGTCTGTTGATGAAGGGTTATGGGTGAAGCTTCAGATGACATAAAGCTGACATGTGGTTCAATAATTGAGATTTCTCGGCTTCCAGGATACATTCTCCAAACAAAAGGTAAGGATACAAGGGATGAAACTATTGTACATTTGCATGGCTATGAACATTGTGAAAAAGGATATTTCAACAAGAATTTATTTTCTGGTGAATGCAGTGATGGATGAAGTTGTGAGCAAGGTTGAAAGTGAACTCCTATGCAGGGCCTATACCCACATGTATCTTGGAGATGATCCTTTTGACAAGGAAGCAAAAGAGAAATTTGGAATGACTCTGCTTTCTCTCTTCTAAACAGAAAACTCTTGGCAACTTCTAGGTTTGTGAGGAATAAGGCCTACTACATCTACTTTGTAGTGGCTGAACTTTTGTTCAATAAAAGGGTGATAACAGGAGAGTGGTTGGTTTCCATTACTAAATCTAAGTGTCATCAATCCCGCTACTATATGTTTGGAACTCACACATGCATATATTTACTATGTGAGTATATATAACAAATATCCATCAACAATAAAACACTACCAAATAAGTAATTCATCACAATTACAAGGAAACAGCATTTGGGTACCAACAGGGTATATTCCTCACAAATTACAAAAGGCAAGATGAGGACATTGTCCATGGTGAACTGTTTCTCGGCAATGATGCTGTTATATATTACAACCAAACAACTGTATCATAGCAACAACATATACCTGCATCTGGCATGCCTTCCTTGCGCAGAACAAAAGTTGTGGTCTTCGTGGTCTATTATTACTGTACCAAATTAGGCAATATCCAGAGTTTGTTCTTGTTTTTCTATTGAGAAAACCCAACTAGATTGAGAACAAAAGCGTTGCAGTACCTCAACATCAAAAAGGTAATTGCATCTGCTTGCTCTGTGTACCTTTCACTGTGCAACAAATCAAACTGCATCATGCAACCTAATCTGAAAAGAATAATGTTAGATGTACCAATTAATATACTAACTAATATTTTAAAGGTTTTGGGTATTTGTAATTTGTATAATAAGTGTGGTCAATAATAATGGCATAACCCTAGTTGGTACACTAGAGTGTACATTAATTGGTGCACCACCGATCTGAAAAAGATAACAATGAAGTATCTTTTGAAACTCAGCTAGCTACAAGGATAACCAGCAAGGGTACAAAACTAAGTTACAAATTATATTATTTATTATATTATTATACTATTATTATATAACAAATTATATTATTTATTATATTATTATACTATTATTATATAACAAATTATATTATTTATTATATTATTATACTATTATTATATAACAAATTATATTATTTATTATATTATTATACTATTATTATATAACAAATTATATTATTTATTATATTATTATACTATTATTATATAACAAATTATATTATTTATTATATTATTATACTATTATTATATAACAAATTATATTATTTATTATATTATTATACTATTATTATATAACAAATTATATTATTTATTATATTATTATACTATTATTATATAACAAATTATATTATTTATTATATTATTATACTATTATTATATAACAAATTATATTATTTATTATATATTAGAAACGAGAGGGGGGAAGACAGAAACACAACTCGACGAGAGAGAGAGAGAGAAGAAGAAGAAAAAGCAGATCGAAGGCGATGGCCATGGCGATCGAAGGCGAGAGCGAAGAGGAGTAGATCGCAAGCAGATCGCGAGGCGAGAGCACTACATCCTGGAGTCGAAGGTTTGTCTTCTCACTCTCTTCCTTCACACTCTCTCTCCTCTGTCTCTCTCTTCTAGGGTTTTTGTTCTTCACCAACGATCCCATCTTGGCCAGGATCGCGTTTCTCTCTCGATGGAAACGCGATTCCTACACGTTTCTTTCTAAGAAACGCGGGAAGATTCGTCACGTGGTAGGACGATTCCTACAACTAAGGTACAAAACAATATAAAAAGTTTACTGAAGGCTGAAAATGTATACACAACAATTTAAAAACTTGAACACAAAAGATAAAAACACAGCAAACATCCAAAAAACAAGTACTTAATAGGACAACACCCAAAAAAATAATAATAATTAACAAACAGTTGAATTAAGGTCTGAAAATAACACGATTACAAATAGGAACACAAAAATTTTTATATTAAAAAATAAAAATAAAATTAGAAACACCCAAAATATAAAAATAATTAGAACCAAAAAAACTATTTAGCAAACAAAAATGATAAAACCAACCACCACTTGATTACCTGGATTAAAAAATACATGCAAAAAAATATAAAAATTAGAACCCCCCCCCCCCCTTTAACTTTTTAGTATAAGTTATTGACTTTTTAATTTTTAAACTAAAATAATAAATTACCAAATGAGACCCATCATGGAATCTAACCGTAAAGATATCTCATTATCCGTCTTTTTCAAGATATATAAACCTCAGAAAACTCCCAAAAACAATTTAAAAAATGTTGCATTAACAACAATATATACAACAATTTAAAAATTCAAACTCAAAACAAAAAACTCAAATGGTTAAAAAACACACACACACACAAACAAACAAACAAAAACCCAAAAAACAACTAAAAGGAAGGGTAAAATTAAAACAAGATTCATCACAAAAATTAAAACAAGAAAAAAATAAATAAAAACACAAACAAAATAAAAAAAAAAAAAACAAAAACCAACTTAACGAAGGGAGAAAATTAAAACACAAACAAAACTGCAGCGTTTCCAAAGTATAAAATAATAAGCAGAATTAAGGTCTAAAAACAACAACTTCAAAAAAGTAGAACCCCAAAAATATAATATAAAAAGTAGAAGAAATTTGCTCAACATATACTGATAAGAAATGATATATTCAAAATTTGAAAAAAAAAATTAAAAACACCCAAAATAAACAATAAAAAAATAATTAAACTAATATATGAAAACAACTTGAAACTATAACAGAAAATACTGAAAAAACCATCCAAAAACAACAGCTGGGAAAATTCTAAAGTTGAAAACACATAAGAAAAACAGTTTTAAAAAAAAAAAAAAAGGGCTAAAATATAAGGTTTGAAAAAAACCCACATTAAACTCATAATTATTTCACATTTTATCTCATAAACATCACATCTAATTACAAAAAAAATCAATCATCTTCCCAAACACAAAGGGTGTGTTTTGTGTTTGTATTTGTGTTTGTAGAGTAGTTTTTGAGATAAAAAAGTACAAAAATTTGTTTGGTTTGTCTTTTTCTAAATATTCTCTCTAAAATAACTTTGATTTTTTTTGTAGAGTAGTTTTTGAGATAAAAAAAACAAAAACTTGTTTGGTTTGCCTTTTTGTAGAGTAGTAAACAGTTTATGAACATAAAAAAGTTTGTTTCTCTCTTTTTATTTATTTATATAATTTATTTTTATTTTTCATTTCTTCTTTTTCCCACTCTTTTTGATTACCACTCATTGCTCATCATCACTACTGACTACCATCACCAATAACCTCCTCCACTAACCACCTCCAACCAATGGTTACCACTTTCGGCCACCACCTTTTCTTGAAAATTACTTTCAACTAGTATCTTAGGCAACCAACTAGCCACCATTTCCAACCATTGACAATCAGTTTCGATCACTACATCCCCTCAACAACCACCTCCGGCCACTACCAGCCGCCTCAAACCGATGGCAACCACCTCAAAAAAAAAAAAAAAAAAAACAAAGGAAAAAAAAATACAACAAAAACAAAAAAACCCCAAAAAAACCCCAAAAAAAACCCAAAAAAAAAAACTTAATTCCCAACTAAAAAGAAGGGCAAAAATTAAAACAAACAAAACTGCAGCAAACATCCAAAATATAAAATAATAAATAGCTTAATTAAGGTCAAAAATAGAGCCTCAAAAATATAATATAAAAATAAAAATAAACTCAAACAACACCAAAACTTCAAAAGATAAGATAAATTTCATTTGCTCAACATATTACCGATAAGAAATGATATATTCAATTCAAATTTGAAAAAACTTAGAAAATATCCAAAATAAACAATAAAAATATAGTTAAACTAATACAGGAAAACAACTAAAACTAAAATAGACAATACTCAAAAAAAAACCCAAAAACAACCGCTGAGAAAATGGTGAAAATTAGAACACAAAAAAATAAGAAGTTGAAAACAACTTAAAAATTAAAGAAAAAATTCAGAAAACCACCCAAAAATAGTTGCATTAACAGCTCTAATAACAACAATTTAAAAATTAGAACAATAAAAAAAAATAAAAAAACATACATAAAACAAGTAAAAGCAAAAAACCAAGGATTGCCAAAATAAGATGTACACGCAAAAAAATTGAAAGACAAAGAACAAGAAAATAGAAAACACCCAAAATAAACAATAAAGATTATTTGAATTAATATAGAAAACAACTTAAAAACTATAGCAAAAAAAACTCAAAAAACACCCTACAAAAGCTGAAAATGGTAAAAAATTGAATACAAAAAAATAAAAAGTTGAAACGACTTAAAAATTAGAAGAAAAAATTCAAAAAACCACCCAAAAGCAATAACAATAATAATAATAGTTGCATTACCAGCTAATAACAACAATCTATAAAGCACGGATACTTCAAATAGGAAGACGTATCCGTATCGGATACCGATACTCCTTAGATACTTATGGATACGTATCAGATACTTATTAAAAGTATCGGATACTTCTTAATTAATTTTTCATTAATTTTGAAGTATCGGATACTTTAGTTTTGAAGTATCGGATGCTCCTAGTCACATATTATCAGATACTTCGTAATTAATTTTGAAGTGTCAAATACTCCAAGTCACATATTACTCCTTTTACGAAATTAGAATTGTATTATTTCTTGCATAACATCCTAATATAATATAATTACGAGGATAAATAGAATATTTTTACAATACTCTGCTTAGGTTTTTTATAAAAATAACATAGTAAGCGAAAGTAATAGAATTTATCAAATTGACATATCTTCATTGTATCATGTATGTCCCCTATAAGGATTAATAAGATAATATAACAATAGTAAAATTAAATATCAATAAATAAATAAGCAAATAAACTTTGAATAGAATATTTTTGCCTAGTGTAAAAGGAAAAAGCATAGGGTCAAGTTGTGGATTGTTTTGATATTATAATATCAACATATTAGACTTGATATTGAAATGAAACATTTGCAAGACCTATTGAAAATTTAAAAACTAAACTAGCTACTGCCTTAAATTAATACCTAATTCTTAAAGATTAGTATGTGATTTCTCAACATTCTTGAGTTTCTTGAGCTTATGTGTAACACACTACTAATAATTTTTTTTTTTTTTATTTTTTACAAACGTATCCTAACCGTACCCATATCCTACTTTTTTAGGTTTTGCTGTATCGCCGTATCCGTATCGTATCGTATCCTATATGTATCTCGTATCCGTATCCGTATCCGTATCCATGCTTTCTAGACAACAATTGAAAAATTATAACACTAAAAAAAAATTTTAAAAACTCATAAAACAACTAGAAGCAAAAAATTAAAAAATTTGTCAAAAAAAAATGTACACGCAAAAAAATGGAAGATCCCAAAAAAAAAACCAAAAAACACCGAAAATAAACGATAAAAATTAGTTGAATTAGTATTGAAAACATCTTAAAAATTATAACAAAACAACATAGAAAACACCCTAAACACCAATTAAAAAAACTTATAAAAAATGAAATCAGAAATAAAATGTACACATAAAAAATTTAAAAAAATGTCAAAATAAAATGTACACGCAAAAAAAAAATGGAAGATCCAAAAAAAAAATTCAAAAAACACCCAAAATAAACAATAAAAATTAGTTGAATTAATACTGAAAACAACTTTAAAATTATAACAAAAAAAACATAGAAAACACCCTAAAAACCAATTAAAAAAACTTATAACAAATGAAATTGGTAACCCCCAAGAAACAAAAAAGAAAGAATAAATAAAAATAAAAACCAAAACAAATGAATTCGAAGTTGAAAACAACTTAAAAATTAGAAGAAGAACAATTCAAAAAACACTCAAAAACAATAATAATAAAATAGTTGCATTAACATTTAAAACTTAGAACACTAAACAATTGAACAAAAAACAATAGTCACACACAGACAAAAAGAAAAAAAAAAAACTTAATTAGAAGCTTAGAAAAAGAAAAAGACAGTTGCAAACAGCTGAATAATAAATAAATAAAAAACCTGAATTAACAGTTAAAAAATGGTAAAAATTAGAACAGAAAAAATACAAAAGCTGAAAACAGTTTAAAAGCTAAAAACACCCACAAAAACAATAACAAAAAGGCAAAGTTGAAAACAACTTAAAAATTAGAAGAATAAAAAACTCAAAAAAACTCAAAAACAATAATAATAAAATAGTTGCATTAACAGCTAATACAACAATTTAAAACTTAGAACACTAAAACAATTGAAAACAAAAACTAGCAACACGCACACACACCCAAAAAAAAAAAATTAGAACGAAAAAAAACTCAGAAAACACCCCAAATAAACAATAAAAAGTAGTTGAATTAGTACCTCACAACAACTTAAAAATGATAACAAAAATGACAGCTTCTTAAAAAGAATTACAAAAAAAAAAAAATTCAGAAAACACCTAAAAAAACAGAAAAAAAAAACTAAAAAAAACTAAAAACAAAAACAAAAACAAACAAACAGTTGCATTAACGGCTGAATTACCAAAAAAACATTTAATTAACGGTCGAAACATGGTAAAAATTAGAACAGAAGAAATACAAAAGCTAAAAACACTCAAGAAAACAATAACAAAAAGGCAAAGTTGAAAACAACTTAAAAATTAGGAGGAAAAACTCAAAAAACACCCAAAGACAATAATAATAAAAATAGTTGCATTAACTAACACAACAATTTAAAACTTAGAACACTAAAACAATTGAAAACAAAAATAGACACACACACACACACACAAAAAAGGCTTAATTAGAAGCTTAAAAAAAGAAAAAGAAAAATTAGGACAAAAAAAACTCAAAACACCCAAAATAAACAATAAAAATTAGTTGAATTAATACCTCACAACTTATTAAAAATGATAACAAAAAAATTCAGAAAACACCCAAAAACTGGTAAAAAAACAGTTGCATTAACAGCTGAACTACCAAAAAAAACTTAATTAACAGTTAAAAAATGGTAAAAATTAGAACAGAACAAATACAAGAGATGAAAACAATTTATTTAAAATCTAAAAACACCCAATAAAACAATAACAAAAAGGCAAAGTTGTAAGCAACAACTTAAAAATTAGAACCCCAAAAATAAATAAATACATAAACTGAAAAAAAGAAAAGAAAAGAAAAGAAAAAGAAAGAACCAAAAAACAGATGAATTAAGAGCTTAAAACAACTTAAAAATTAGAACATAAACAAAACTTGAAAAACACCGAAAGTGTTTGCTGGAAACATTAAAACAATCATTAAAAACAAAATCATGCACACAAAATCAATTTTACTTGGAACATTGATCTGAATCAGATCACGAAAGGAAATTTCTCTGCATTACACAATCATTAAAAACTCTAAAATAAACTCCCAAAAGAATCAAATCAATAACATTGATTATTCTCTCTCAAAAACAATCATATAACTCAAATTTCAAGCAAAAATTCTAGCAGTGGCTAGAAAACTTTTAAAACTCTAAATCCTCCGAACTAAACTTTAACATAATACAAGAACAAATTCAAGATTCAAGATTCAAGCATTGCACTAGTGTCTACGAAAATCAGATCAATGACAACAATTATCTCTCAAACACAATCATATAACTCAAATTCCAATCCAAAAATTTGGCAGTACCAGAAAATTTCTACAACTCTAAATCCTCCAAACCGAACTTTAACATAATATAAGAACGAATTCAAGATTGAAACATTGCACTAGTGAACAGAATATAGTAGTATTCAACAATCAGAACAACAAAGAAAGAATCATACAAAACCAACAATAATCAAGCAATTTTAGACAGATTTCAAGCAATCTAAAACAAATTTCAAGCAATCTCAACTAATCTCAAGCAATTTTAAGCAAATTTTAAGCAATTCTCCATCATGAGAAAGACGATTTCAGAAAAATAAATACCTGGATTCAAGATGCGTGACGGATTTCAGACGGCAATCTCAAGCTTCGTCTTCTTCATCAGCTTCTTCTTAGGGTTTGTTCGTGCATCGTCTTCATCTTTTCCATCATAAAGACGATTTGAAGGAGTCAATTTCAAGGGTTTCGGGTTTCTCGGATGGATTGAAGATAGAGATCGAAAGGGTTTAGGGAGAGATAAAACATAGGGAAGAGAGAGAGACGACATCTAGCCGTTCATTGTGAGATTGGATTCTTTTTTTTTCACAATTCATAGCCGGTGATTTCTGTTCCAAAAAAAAATTAGCCGTTTACTGTGAGACTGCCTTTTCTGTACCAATTCTTTTGGGTTTGTTTAATGAAATTTTTTTGCAAGTTAAAAATTTATAATTAAAACAAATTTAAAATTAGAAACATTCCCGCCTTAGCTTCTTAATAATTAGGCCCCGTTTGTTTTAGGTTATAGCAAGGGGATTAGGATTACTAGTACCTTGGGATTAGTATATGGGGTGTTTGTTTTGAGAGATAGCCTTGGGACTATTAATACCTTGGGACTAACTAATACCTTGGTGTTACTAATACCTTGTTTGTTTTGAGAGATAGGGAGGGTACTACTAATACCTTGGTATTACTAATACCCTTGGACCATGTTTGTTTGGGTGGACATAAGCTTGGGATTGGATTAATAGTCCAATAAAATTATTAATCCGATATTTAGTTAAACAATTGTAGGTACGGACTAATTATTTTAAACTTGACTATTAGTTAAGATATGATACATAATCCAACGGATTGGTAGTCATAGGACTATTAGTCATGAGAATGCTAATCTAGTCCGCCCAAACAAACATGAGCTTGGGGAGGGGATTCATAGTGAGGAGGTAGAGATGGTATTAGAAAAATAGTGAGGGGATTAGAAATTTTTTTATTTTTTTATTTTTTATAGAAGCAAATCATTGGCGTTTATTGCCTCATCCTTAAGCCAATTTGGTAACGATTCAAACTCGTTTTCCACTCTTTCTTCGTCAGAATCCAAATTCAAACAAGAAACCCATTCATAATTTGATTCAGACATTGTGTCGAGCACCTGATGTGCAGCTTTCTTGACCCAAAAATCAAGCTCATCAGCCCCACTCAACATGTTTCGGGCAAGTTTAGTCAAGTCTCGAGCGCAAAATCGACTATGCTCCAAAGCAAGAAACGATAGAATTCGAAACTGCACTGCGTTGGGAAGCGTCTGAATCCACATAACCCTGTTCAACCCAGAAAAGTTTAACCAACTTAACAATGAAAACAATTGATACATATACATACAATGTATTTATATATGTGGGTTTTTTACCTCTTGGAATGAGGAGTTGAGGTGTGTGAAGGAGAAGAAGAATCGATGACAATGGCCTCGGAGGGTTTTGAGAGCAACGAAAGGAAAGAGTTTGTGGTAATGGTGGGGGTGGATGAGGCGTCGAAAGAGTGATGAAACCATCGAGAGGCCTCTGTTTCAGGACATGGGGAGTTCAAGAAAATGTCCAAGAGTGGGACCCATGACTCCATCTTCTTTCCTTCCCTCTCTTCTGACTTCTCTGCCCTAGGCCTAGGTAAGGAACAGAGTTTCCAGTTACCCTTTTCACTTCGAGAAATTCCCGGATAATACGCGGGAAAGTTTAACGAACTAGTTTTCCCGAGAAAATTTATTTAATTTTAGAGTTCTTGAAACTCGTAGCCTAACAGACCAATAAATGTTGGAATTTGGGATTGAACCAGTGACTGTAAAAACGACAAGTTAGCAACATTTTTCCTTCGTCATCTCCAACGCTTACTAAGGGCATCCCAATGGATGTGCTAAAATTATTTGTTATATAATAAAAAAATATTAAAAGTAAGACTCAAAAAAATATGTTAAGAATTTGTTAATTTAGTGAGTAAATAGTGAATGAATGGTGATATAATAGATGTGTTAAGTGGTGTGTTAAGGTATGTGTTAAATATATATATATATGTATATAATAAATAAAACAAATAAATAATTTAGTTTAATCAAAAATTTCAAACCCAAAATTAAATTTCAAGTCTGAAAAAAAAATCCCAACATATAAAAAAATAAAATAAAATAAAATAAATTCCGTTGACTGGTCAACCGGCTGATCAACCCGTGAGAACACAAACACACTCCCTCCGCTAGCTAAAACGCTAGCCGCAGTTAACAACTGACGCTAGCAAAACCCACTAACACACTGATTAACACTTCCACTATGACATCCAAACATTATTGTAGCTAGCTAAAATTTGGCCACTGACACTAACACCACTATTAACGCGTCCATTGTGGATGCTCTAACAGACCAAATACTGTGCGTGAATTTACATTTTCTCCCTAAATAGTGAGTGAATATATCATAATTTAATATCTTATTTGATTTTGTTATAGCATTGACATTACCAGCACTTAGAGCTTTCAAGCATTGTTAATCAAACTCTCTATAGGAAAGGTAAGTGAATCTACATTTTCCCCCCAAATAGTGATTGAATCTATCATAATTTAATATCTTATTTGATTCTATCATAACATAGACATTACCAACACTTAAAGAATTCACGCACTGTTAATCAAATTTTCTATAGGAAATGTTGTTTAATCATTTACTTGGTCTGTTATGATAAATTCACTCACTGTTTGACGAACAAAAAAGTTGAATTATATAAGTAGCTAGTTTAACCAAAAGAAAATAAACTATTTTAATTGAGGCATTTTACAGAATATGGTGTATGTACAAAGATACAAAAAAAGAAATGAGGAGATGGAAGAGGGGCCAAACTAATTTGTAGAAAAAGTTCTCAAGAAGCATTCCTTTAACATAATATAAGAACGAATTCAAGATTGAAACATTGCACTAGTGAACAGAATATAGTAGTATTCAACAATCAGAACAACAAAGAAAGAATCATACAAAACCAACAATAATCAAGCAATTTTAGACAGATTTCAAGCAATCTAAAACAAATTTCAAGCAATCTCAACTAATCTCAAGCAATTTTAAGCAAATTTTAAGCAATTCTCCATCATGAGAAAGACGATTTCAGAAAAATAAATACCTGGATTCAAGATGCGTGATGGATTCAGACGGCAATCTCAAGCTTCGTCTTCTTCATCAGCTTCTTCTTAGGGTTTGTTCGTGCATCGTCTTCATCTTCTCCATCATAAAGACGATTTGAAGGAGTCAATTTGAAGGGTTTCGGGTTTCTCAGATGGATTGAAGATAGAGATCGAAAGGGTTTAGGGAGAGATAAAACATAGGGAAGAGAGAGAGAGAGAGAGAGAGAGAGAGACGATATCTAGCCGTTCATTGTGAGATTGGATTTTTTTTTTTTCACAATTCATAGCCGGTGATTTCTGTTCCAAAAAAAAATTAGCCGTTTACTGTGAGACTGCCTTTTTTGTACCAATTCTTTTGGGTTTGTTTAATGAAATTTTTTTGCAAGTTAAAAATTTATAAATAAAACAAATTTAAAATTAGAAACATTCCCTCCTTAGCTTCTTAATAATTAGGGTGTTTGGCCAAAAATCTAATTTTGATTTTTTTTGGTAAGAAATTCTAAGTGCTGAATTAACTTGTCCATAAAGACAAGTTTATATTAAATGACCAAAATACTCTCACTATATACATATTAGTATATGTCCGTATTTGAAGGCACAAGTGTAAACAATGTTGTGATCAAAATATTATTGTAATTTACACATATTATGTTAAAATTTATGGAATCTGTAATATTTTTTGACTTTTGATAAAGACATTGAAAAAAAATAAAGAAATATTATTCTTCTTGAAGAACTTCTAACAATTTTAGTATCAAAATCGAATAATAAAATACAAAAATTAATTGCAATAAATAACTGCCATGGATAAGAAATACTTAATGAGTTACAATCAAGATGAGAAGAGCAGGTAGATAAACAGAGAGGAGTTTTTTTTTTCATTCTAGAGAAAAGAAAAATGGGCAAATGGATATCATGTGTATATTTCTTCATTCTAGAAAACATTGAAAGGAAAGGAATATATATATATATATATATATCAGTTTCTTGGTCATTCCCATAAAAAGTATGAAAAACCAAATATCCAAGGTAGGTATCATTCACAATTTAAAAGAAGATATCATAAGGGCATCCACAATGGGATAGCTAAAATTGTTTGTTAAAGTGTGTGTGTTATATGACAAAAAATGATAAAAGTAGGGCCCAAAAATGTTTGTTAACATGTGTTAAGAGTTTGTTAATTTTAGAGAGTGAGTGGTGGTGCAATGGATGTGTTAAGGTGTGTGTTAAATATATATATATATATATATATGTGTGTGTGTGTGTATAATAAATAAAATAAATAAATAATTTAGTGTAATCAAAAATTTCAAACCCAAAATTAAATTTCAAGTCTAAAAAAAAATCCCAACATGTAAAAAAATAAAATAAAATAAAATAAAATAAATTCCATTGACCGGTCAACCGGCCGGTCAACCCGTGAGAACACAAACACACTCCCTCCGCTAGCTAAAAAGCTAGCCGCAGTTAACAACTGACGCTAACAAAACCCACTAACACACTGCTTAACACTTTCACTGTGACATCCAAACATTACTGTAGCTAGCTAAAATTTGGCCACTGACACTAACACCACTGTTAACGTGTCCATTGTGGATGCTCTAACAGACCAAATACTGTGAGTGAATTTACATTTTTCCCCTAAATAGTGAGTGAATATATCATAATTTAATATCTTATTTGATTTTGTCATAGCATTGACATTACTAGCACTTAGAGCTTTCAAGCATTGTTAATCAAACTCCCTATAGGAAAGGTAAGTGAATCTACATTTTCCTCCCAAATAGTGATTGAATCTATCATAATTTAATATCTTATTTGATTCTATCATAACATAGACATTACCAACACTTAAAGAATTCACGCACTGTTAATCAAATTTTCTATAGGAAAGGTTGTTTAATCATTTACTTGGTCTGTTATGATAAATTCACTCACTGTTTGACGAACAAAAAAGTTGAATTATGTAAGTAGCTAGTTTAACCAAAAGAAAATAAACTATTTTAATTGAGGCATTTTACAGAATATGGTGTATGCACAAAGATACAAAATAAAAGAGCTTGACTATACCAAAATAGTCAAAATACCCAGAATGAAATTCTCAAGTTTAGAAAGAAATGAGGAGATGGAAGAGGGGCCAAACTAATTTGTAGAAAAAGTTCTCAAGAAGCATTCAACAAAATTTCAAGTGGTATTTTAAACGCAACAATGTGAGATTTTATTGGCAACAATGCACAGGAAAAAAAAACACACACACAAAAAAGGAAAATAAAAAAGAAATAGAACACACGCACACACACAAAAAAAAAAAAAAAAAAGAAGAAGAAGAAGAAGAAGAAGAAAAAACCCATCTTCAGCAATGCATGTAGTAAAAAAATATATAAAAGACCATAAAACAAACTCATATACAAATTATAAATATTGAGCAACCGCATGAAATGTAAACCAAGATCAGAATATAGAAATTTATCTGAGTTAATCAACAAATTTCAATAACATTGCTTTGCAAATTTGTTTGTGTTCGTCTTGAGTTCCCGGAGGTCTCGGCTGCGCGCTTTACCTCAGGATCTCTCGACTTGACCGTTTAGTGTCTGGTTTTGCACCAAACACTTGTGTTTTGCCTTGGAGGGGCAGGGAATGCCTTGTGAGGCATCCCCACACACCACCGGTTGGTTTTTGCTGCCATCGGCACTGTTTGTTGCCGGTCGGCAATGGTTTTTGCCGGTCGGCACTAAATTTTGTCAAAATGACATTTTTGGGCAGCCGACCACTGTTCATCTACTTTATGGAGATATTTTGTGCCAGCTGTGATAGCTGGCACCAACTCTGCTTCCCTCCATACACGTCCCTCTAAGCAAGCTTGTTGTGTAAGCTTTGCAAGAGGGACCTCTACAAGAGGAGAGGCCTTCTCCTTGCTCTAGGTTAGAAACTTTGGAGGCAAAAACCAGAGCTTACACTTATAGATACACCCTATCTCTATATTTCCCTCTCTCCCCCCCCCTTGTGTGTGTTTCTTGGCCTAAAAGTGTGATTTTACCTTACTTTTGCACCAATACACACACTATTACACCTTGCTCTGAGATTGAGGACTTTGAGGGTTGATTCTTGAGTTTTTGGACTGTTTTTTATCAAAAGAAGGGGGCTGCCTTGGCTGTTCTTGAAGAGTACTTCAAGGGTGAGCATTTTACTTTAGTTTCCCCAAACTTGCACTAGTCTTTTACCTATCTTCCTTGCTGATTTAGTTTTTGTGCATAACATAAAAAAGACTTGTATTTTCATGCTTAAGAACTTTCATTAAGGGTCCTTTGTGGTTTGAGTTCAAACTCACCCCCTTAGGCCTCATTTGGCCCTTTTTGTTGCCTCCTTGGTAAGGCTTTGTTTGCTTGAGTGTTTTGGTCTTCTCACCAGTGAAAACCAGTGGATTTTCAGTGGTGAGGAAGGTGGTTTTAAGTCTTGCATAGGGGAGGGACACCCCTCTCCCTTCATTGTCTTGTTTCCTTGCATTTTGGCCTAAAAGGGTAACGTGCATGCTTGATCATTCTTGGCCTCATTTCAGAAGTTTTTTGGGTGTTTTGGGTCATATATGATCTCTATTTTTGGTCGGATTTGTGGCTTGTTACATGCTTAATATACTTGCTTTACATCTCTCTTTTTGGCCAAGAAATGTATCTCATGATTAGGCCATGATTCTTGCATGTGTTGGCTTAGTTCCATGAAGGTGTTGGCACTTTTTTAC